CATTATTGGGTATATATCTAAAAGAGAGCAAATCTTTCTTTCGTGAGACAGAATCCTGCTCTGTCAGCCAGGCTGGAGAGCACTGGCGTGATCTTGGCTCACTGCAACTTCTGCCTCTAAGGTTCAAGCAGTTCTCCTGCCTTACCCTCCTGAGTTGCTGGGACTACAGGCTCACGCCACCACATCTGGCTAATTTTTCTATTTTTAGTAGAGATGGGGTTTCACCATGTTGGCCACACTGGTCTCGAACTCCTAATCTTGTGATCCACACTCCTCGGCCTCCCAAAATGCTGGGATCATAGGCATGAGCCACTGTGACTGGCTGAAAGCAAACCTTTCTACCAAAAAGGCACATGTACTTGCATGTTCATCACATAACTATTTATAACAGGAAAGACATGGAATCAACCTAGATGCCTATCAACGGTGGGCTGGATAAAGACGATGTGGTACATATACACCATGGTTCCATACAACCATAACAAAGAATGGAATCATGTCCTTTGCAGCATCATGGATGCAGCCAGAGGCCACTGTCCTAAGTAAATTAATGCAGGAAAAGAAAATCAAATACCGCATGTTCTCACCTATAGCTGGAAACTAAATGTTGATGGATATAAAGATGGTAACAATAAAACTGGGGAGTACTGGGGGTAGGGATAGAATAGGGGATAAGAGTTGAAAAGGTAACTCTTGGGTACTATACTCAGTACCTGAGTAATGGGCTTATTCATACTCTAAACCTCAGCATCATACAATATATCCAGTTAACAAACCTGCACATGTACTCCCAAATCTAAAATAAAATAAAAATAAATAAAATGTATAGGGAACACTGCTATATATGTTTCCCTTGTGCTAATCCTAGTTTTGGGTACTTTTGTGGCCTACCAGGTGAGAAGATGTTCTCAGAATCACAGCTTTGATCTACAGTGGTGCTAATGTTATTCCTCTTATGCTTGGGCCTTAGATTTGAACCAGTGCTATGAATTGACTGTGAAAGACTCAGTGGAATCCTCTGAGATTCTGTCAGCAAAAATGTAATTCAAATTTAAATCTAATCAACATTCACTGAGTGCCAACCATATGCACAGTATGATGTTACGCACATGCTAACATTTGCAGCCTTAAGCTACAAATATAAATAAGTTTACATGAAGGCACAAATAACATAGTTTGTATTCTATGCAGTAAGACTTGTCTTAGAAGGATATATTCTGAGGGTTTGTCATAATCACTGATTATTGCTGAAGGCAAGGAAAAAGAAACCAGGAAAGTGATTACACAGGATTAAAAACTAGAAAAAGGGATACTCAAACAAGATTAATTTATTTTCTATTTATTATTACTAATATATTTTTTAAGAGACAGTGTATCACTCTATCACCCAGGCTTGGAGTGCAGTGGCACAATCACGTACCCTTGACCTTCTGGGCTCAAGAGATCTTCCCACGTCAGTCTCCTGTGTAGCTAGGGTCACAGGTGTACACCACCATGCCCAGCTAATTTTTTCATTTCTCATAGAGACAGGGTCTCCCTAAGTTGCCCAGTTTGGTCTCAAACTCCTGGCCCCAAGCAATCCTCCTGCCTCAGGTTCCCAAAGTGCTGAGATTACAGGTGTGAGCCACCACTCCTGGCAAAATTCATTTCTTTTTTTTCATTTTTTATTTATTTATTTTTTTACACATTGCTACAAAGACGTATCCAACAAAATTCATTTCTATTAAGATATTTTCTTTTCTTTTCTGGATAAAGGATTTGGTCCATGGCTAATTTATTAAGACATTTTCAACAAGTTTCCCATCTGGGTTAAAGCTAACTCTGAAGCAAATTCTAAGCCTGTTGATGAGATTTTATTTATTAATCCCAGCTGGTAAGGGAAGAAATTTTCTAAAACGGGTATTTCGAGAGCAGACACCAAATCATTAAATAGTTTTCAACTAAATGTCTATAAAGTCCACCATTTTGATTTAACTCAAGTTGTCATACAGACCCTGAGCTTCTCGTTAGCTTGGCACTGACAGCTTAACCTAATTTTCCCTTTCTAATCTCACATTTTCTATCCTCTCACAGAAATCCTATCTCCCAGTCAGGCAGTAAGTTCTATTTTCTCCTTTTCCAAACATGTCTCCTACATTCTCATCGTTGCCGCGGCTTAGGTTTTTTTGTTTTTTTTTTTTTTTTTTTTTTTTGAGACAGAGTTTCGCTCTTGTTACCCAGGCTGGAGTGCAATGGCGCGATCTCGGCTCACCGCAACCTCCGCCTCCTGGGTTCAGGCAATTCTCCTGCCTCAGCCTCCTGAGTAGCTGGGATTACAGGCACACGCCACCATGCCCAGCTAATTTTTTGTATTTTTAGTAGAGACGGGGTTTCACTATGTTGACTGGGATGGTCTCGATCTCTTGACCTCGTGATCCACCCGTCTCGGCCTCCCAAAGTGCTGGCATTACAGGCTTGAGCCACCGCGCCCGGCCCAGGTTTTTTGTATTATACAAACCACTCTTTTCTTCTCGCCTTATTTAAATCCTACCTATCCTTGATTAGCTCAGTGACAACTTCCTGTGGACAATATTTCAGGTGCTTATATTTTCTTTATGATATATTACAGAAATCCATGTAGATCTAAGTCTTCAAAGCTGTGGTAGGAAGATCTGGAGTTATAGGCATATTACTTATTAGCTTTGTAACCTTGGGTAAGTCATTTAGTTCATTCATCAAATTTGAATGAGACATAGTTTCTTATTTCAAGGAGCTCACAATGGAAAGGATATTAAATTTTTAAAAAGCCTACAAACATGACAATATAATTAAGAGACTCAAATGAGACAACAGAAATAATGGTATTTTAAAAATGAAAATAGAAATATAAGTTATTTAAGAATTTCTCAAACTAAGTTTTCATTGCTATTTTTTTTTTTATTGCTTTCAAAATCATGGTTTATTCCTTTAAAAATAGCTCATGTTTAGAATTCAGGGTTTAGAACAGAAGCCATGTTGAGATTCTGGCATCTTGCCACCTTGGAAAGACTCCTCTAAATTAAGCTATACTGTCTGTGGCCCTTCTTAAAAGATAGACACTCACTAGCTCATTGAAGGTACAGACAAGGGTTTGTGAGCAGTTTTATATAACACGGTGGCTTTTGCTAAGATTTCTTTCCGAGAGCTACTTGGACAGGTACTCTTACTATGTTTATGGAGATGACCATGTCACAGGTTCTAAGGCCAACTGTTTAATCTCATAAAACACTCAATTAATTTATAAAGTGCAATTAAGACTCTGAGATATAAATTTGGTAATTCCAAGAGACTCATAGTCATATGACTATGGGTTACAAGGTTCTCTTATTTATATTTCTTTCTTTCTTTTTTTTTTTTGAAACAGAGTCTAACTCTGCTGCCCAGGCTGGAGTATAGTGGCACAATCCTGGCTTACTGCAATCTCTGCCTCCTGGGTTCAAGCGATTCTCCCGCCTCAGCCTTCCAAGTAGCTGGAATTATAGGCACAGCCAGCACACTCAACTAATTTGTATTTTTTAGTAGAGACGGGGTTTTACCATGTTGTCCAGGCTAGTCTCGAACTCCTGACCTCAAGTGATCCACCATGCCCCACCTTGCTATTTATATTTCTAACTCAAGCTTATCATCTAAACTTAGATCACACTGTAGCTATCAAATGGTAATGTTGATGGCCTCTTAAAGGCTTTTCACAGGTACCTTTTATTAAAATGCTTGGTTAAATGAGTCCAATTATCACCTTTTCAAAATTATTCTAAATCCCCTAAAGTCTACAAAATATTTCTTTTCTTTTTTTTCTGAGATGGAGTCTTGCACTGTCACCCAGACTGGAGTGCAGTGGTGTGATCTTGGCTCACTGCGACCTCCACCTCCTGGGTTCTTCTGACTCATCCTCCGGAGTAGCTGGGATTAAAGGTGCACGCCACTATGCCAAGCTAATTTTTTCTATTTTTAGTAGAGATGGGGTTTTACCATGTTGGTCAGACTGTTCTCAAACTCCTGACCTCAAGTGATCCGCCTATGTCAGCTTCCCAAAGTTCTGGGATTACAGGCGTGAGCCACTGTGCCTGGCCCAAAATATTTCTTTTCCTTTTTTTATTTTTTTCCCCCAATTTGAGAAATTGGGTGTCTTGCTCTGTCACCCAGGCTGGAGTGCAGTGGTGTGATCTGGGCTCACTACAACATCCACCTCCTAGGTTCAATGGTTTCTCCTGCCTCAGCCTCCTGAGTAACTTGGACTACAGGCATGTGCCACCACACCCAGCTAATTTATATATATATATATTTTTTAGTAGAGACAGGATATCACCATGTTACCCAGGCTGGTCCTGACCTCCTGACCTCAGGTGATCCATTACAGGCGTGAGCCACTGTGCCCAATATATTTATTTTCTTAATGCAATATATTTTCACTTATTTCAGAATTTTTCAATTACATAATACATAAAAACAGCAGTATTTATCTCCCCTGTAAAACACTCATTTCACAAAGAGCAAAATGTTTGGCTGGGCATGGTGGCTTATATCTGTAATATCAGCCCTTTGGGAGGCCAAGCCAGGAGAATCACTTGAGATTAGGAGTTTGAGACCAGCCTGGGCAACATAGTAAGGTTCCATCTCTACCAAAAAAAAAAAAAAAAAAAAAAAAATCTACCCAGATGTAGTAGTGCCAGCACTCACTTGAGTCCAATAGATTATTCAGGCTACAAGTGAGTTATGATCAAACCACTGTACTCCAGCTTGAGTGACCGAGTGAGACCTTGTCTCATAAATAAATAAATAAATAACAGAAAGCCTACCAATTACAGAAATAAAGCTAATTTTTTATTTTTATGTTCCTAAAGATAAGTACACTAATAACAAATCACTATTTTTTGCTATAATAATAAAGAAGAATCCTGAAGAGCCCAGTATTAAAAAAAAGAGAGAAGAAAATAGAACTACATATTTGAATTACTTTTATTAGGGGGAAAATATCTACTTACGGCAGTGGCTCGAGAAAGTTCTCGACACGTACTAAGCAGTCCATTTTGTAAATCGTCCCTTTGTAACACCACTGTCTGAATGGCTGCTGGGTTATCTGCATGCATTTCTATCTCTTGGCTGGCTGATAGCAAAGCTTGCTCAAGGGTGTACTATTATAATAAAAAGAATTACACTTAATGTTCTGCATCATTGAATTAATTCTTTTTACTTATCAGTGTCCTGATAATAATCACATAAAGTAACATCAATTGTAGACAATAAACATAATTGTCCTACTTTCTCCTTGTGGAGCTGCTGAAGTTTCTCTTCCAGAGCATGCACCACTTTATCCTGTTCACATAATCGGCTTAACTTGGCCTAGGTTATAAGAGAAGATGTCTTGTTAGCAATTTTTTATTTTTTCTGTAATTGGACGTAAGCAGTCATTTTATGACCAAAATCTAGCTTATAAACATAGAATGCTTTAAAAATACACATGCAATCATTTTGCCTCTACAATCTGCTAAATAGGTTAAGTGACATATTCAGTCCTTAATTAAAGAGTCTATTGTTATATATTTAAAAAATCATGCTCTTAGATTCTTAAAAAAGAATATAAATAGAACACTTCTAACTGAAATATAAATGAAAATATTATTAATGGAGAAAAATAAATTTAATCAGTTTTACCCTAATTTCTCCCTAATTTCTTAACTATGAAAGTATGAGAAGGTACTCTAATAACATTTTAATAGGACAATAAACCAGTTTTAATGTTTCAAAATGAAAACACTGGACAAATTTGAAATAGGAACTTTATGGCATAATGACACAAAAGGAAGAAATTTGAGACTTCACCTTCTTTGCTATTTATCTATTCAAATAACTACCTTATCTTTGTCAGACAACAAGACTCAGGTTACACAAATGAAAGGTGTTAAAAAGAAAAAGGCAGGGCTGGGCTTGGTGGCTCATCCCTGTAATCCCAGCACTTTGGGAGGCCAAGATAGGTAGACCACCTGAGGTCAGGAGGTTGAGACCAGCCTGGCTAACATGGGAAGCCCTGACTCTAACTAGAAAAGCAAAAACAAAAACAAAAACAAAAAGTTAGCTGGGTGTGGTGGTGTGCTCCTACAGACCCAGTTATTTGGGTATCTGAGGCACAATAATCACCTGAACCCGGGAGGCAGAGGGTGCAGTAAACTGAGATCGTGACACTCAGCCTGGGTGACAGAGAGAGACCCTGACTCAAACAAAACAAAACAAAACGAAAAAAACGAAAGAAAAAGGGGTACAACTCAATGGAATAAAATCAGGGGAAATAATGAGGGAAGAATGTGTGGCAAATAAAATATGATATAAAATAAATGAAATTTAATTTATAAAGAAGTAGTGATAAGATGTCTAAAGGCTGATACTTTATCCAAAAAACACAGCAATTCTTCTTTGCCTCCAGTCTTCTATAATTTTTTTTTTTTTAAGGCAGGGTCTAATTTCATTACCAGGCTGGAGTGCAGTATCACGATCTCAGCTCACTGCAACCTCTCCCTACTGGGTTCAGGAGATTCTCATGGCAAAGCCTCCAGAGTAGCTGGGATTACAAGCGTGCGCCACCACACCCAGCTAATTTATATATCTTTAGTAGAGACAGGGTCGTGCTATGTTGCCCAGGCTGGTCTCAAACTCCTGGCCTCAAGTGATTCACCCTCCTCAGCTTCCCAAAGTGCTGGGACTGACTGGTGCAAGTCACTGTAACCAGCCATTCTCTAACTTTTAAAAATCAGAACAGTTTTTACTTTCATGTAAGTGATGCTTAATATGTTCACCTGCTAACAATAGGGAGTAGTGGGACGTAGAGGGCAGGGAATAATAATTTAGAGCACACACGCACACACACACACACACACACACACACACACACAATATAAATTTATCTGATGTCATTTCGGAGGACTTGGGAGAAAGAAGTTTTTTCGTCATGCTTATTTCCAGTGTTTTTGGCAGAGAATATGACAGAGTGCTGACAATATGTATCATACTAATACTTACATCAATATCTACTTCTTCAGGTCTGTATTTGTATAATGTGCCTCTACCTTCATCTTGTGACAGCTATAAGAAAACAATCATATAGCAACTTAAAAACTCTTATTTAAAAATATATTTAGCCTATATTTTAGATTTATATTAAATATGTATGACAATATTACAAAAATAGATTTTAATGATTCTTATACTTTTAGAAGTTTAATTCAAACACAGATCAACAAAGTAGAAAAATACTTAACAGAGATATAATATGCAAGATACATGAGAACGATGTATGTAACAAGCTTGTTAAACATAATAATACGCTGGTCAAACAAAACTAATACAGTACCTTACATTCTTGGTTTTAAAGACACACATTATTTTAATAAAAAAATTGACAAATACAATCATAGCAACTGTATCAAATCAAGTATTTGAATCAAGCATAGTTCAACAGTCAAAACCATCCTTCACAGTATACACATAATCACACACTGTATATGTGTACACTCAAATGTCAACACACCTTATTTAACAAAACCTGTAACATATTGTATACATATACGTAATATAAAACAGACATACACAATATAGACTTATCTTGTTCTTCTGTCTTAAGAACTAAAAGATAATGAAGGAAAAGGATGGGTTTAATTGAAAAGAGGAAAATCATTCAAGACCTCATAAAACTGAAAGCCTGTTATGAACTATGGATAGTCAATTTTCAAATTTATATGTGTTAGTTGACACCATTTGTGTTATTATATTTTAAGAAATTATTCAGTGTACTTAAGCTTCTTCCCAGTATCTTTTGGTTAAACAAATCCTTACTTCTGATTGTGCTTAGCAAGATTTCAATAGCCATCCCAGTTAGTTACACCACAGATAAAATAATAGTCTCTGCAGGCAATACTTCCTTATTTTTATTGTCTTTTGATTTTCATATTGATGGTGAGAAAGTAACAAAAATATATAGAAAAAATTTAAATAGGGCTCATTGCATGTTTACTAAATGGCACCAATTTCTTTCAAGGTACAGTTAGAAATAATGTGTCCCAACTATATTCCAGTTTAAAAAAAATAAAATTTCATATACGCTTTGGGGATACTTTGCAGAGAAATTAAAAAAAAGAAGTAAATTTCATATATGTGTAATACATAAGAATGTATAAATGACAATTCTGCACGTTTTCTCTATGAATGAAACTGCTTGACAGTTACAGTTTCAAAAGGAGGCATAATTTAAACAGGAGATAACTTTGAATTGATCTAGAAATGTAGGAATCAGGAGAAGGTAAAAATATAAGCATTCCAAACAGACAATAAATCCTGGATTTACATGTTTCATTTCAAGACATTACTTTCACATACCTCATGCAAATGAATCTGTGACTATTTAAGGGTATGCACATTGATTATTAAACCACAAAACTTTCATAGAAATGAATATTACATGAAAAATGAATTTAATCACCAAAGTTAGAATGCTCTTACACTATTTAAAATAAGTATCCTCAGGTGTGTCCTGAGAAGTGTCAACTGTCATTCTAAATTAAAGCACCTAGATCCAAGAAAATAATTTATATTCCTATATTAAAAAAATAATAAAAAGTAACTTTTAAATAGGTAGATCCATGATAAAAAAGTAAGATAATGTCAAAACTACATTTTTCATATTTATAACAAATTAAAGACCAAAGGCCATAAGCCATTAAGATGCTCAAATATAGTTTGCTTAATATTTATTTTATTTTTTGAGATGCAGTCTTGCTGTTGCCCAGCTTGGAGTGCAGTGGTATGATCTTGGCTCACTGCAACCTCTGCTTCCTGGGTTCAAGCAATTTCTCTGCTTCAGTCTCCAGAATAGGTGGGATTACCAGCATGGGCCACCTTGCCCAGCTAATTTTTGTATTTTTAATAGAGATGGGGTTTTACCATGTTGGCCAGGCTGGTCTCGAACTCCTGACCTCAGGTGATCCACCCGCCTCAGCCTCCCAAAGTGCTGGGATTACAGGTGTGAGCCACCACACCCGGCCATAGTTTGCTTAATATTTAAAGTTAAATGCAAAACAGCTTTACTAGACCACAGAATCTGAATATAACTAGTGGACAGTGTTACATCTAGATTAAAATATCAACAGTACCCTGTATCTCAGAGTGAACAGAAAAAAAGACTGGTATATTAAGGTGAAAACTTAGTAATTTACAGTAAATCTTTAGGTATATACTATTTTTATTTATGGATTCTTATTGCAGATTTATTTTTATATCAGTTAGCATATCATAATAAAGAAATATATCTACTATAGTCACTTTAGAGTGATATATCCTTTATAGCCATATAAACATGTTATACATATCAATCAGATTTTCTTGTGTTATTTCTACTTCTAGTACCACCAAAAATTTTCTTTCAATCATTTATCAAATTATTCAATAAAGATATTCATTAAACATCAACTAACCAAATTCTTAAACATTTTGCCACACACTGCTTTTACAACAGAAGCGTAAGAGAACAAAATGATTCCTTAAAAAAACAACAAACATGTTCATAGGATTGAAAAGGTTGCTATTTTGTCAAGATGAAAATCCTGACCCCTCATCCCAACATTCCCCCACCCCCCTGCCCCACCAAAAAAAAAAAAAAAAAAAAAAAAGGAAAAAGAAAAAAAGAAAAAAGAAAATCTTAATGTAAATTTCATGGGCATTCTGGTTAACTCAAGTTTTGCATATTTAAGTTCATGGTAACACTGTCTATCAATTTTTTCAAATATAACTTTAGCAAAAAAATAAAAATAAAAAGGGAAGGTTTGTTTGAATACTTCATTTGAAGTACCTTAGCAACAGTAGAAAAGCAAATGAAAAAATGGGCTATGTAGTAATTACATAAACTTGAGCACTGCTTCAACTTCAGGTTGAGGAGTGTGTTATATAGATTTTACTAACTATATAAGGACATGTGTTATATTTTATTTAGATTGCCAGAAGCTTTTCATAATAAAGTATCTGATAGTTTCTCTAAAACAAAAAACAAAAAACAAAAAAAACTGTCTTGGCATTAAGTTAAAGTTATTTATGTTAATTAAAATTCAACTTCAATATCCCTTAGGTATATGAACTATATATATTTTAAAGCATATGAACATAATATATAAACTCCAAAAAGGATTTTTAGGAAAATATTTTAAAATTTGATAATATTAGATATTATCTATCAAGAGCAAAAAATGCTCATAGGACTGTAGACATTTGTTGATATAGCATCTTTTAGGACAAATTACTTATCAAGTGATTAATTTCACTGGTATTAGTCATGCTATAAAACCTATGGTGCTAAAATGTAACTGTGAAAGGTGAGCTAGAATGCTTTTATTTATTTATTTTAAAAAAGAGTGTCTCCTTCTGTCACCCAGGCCGGAGCACAGTGGGCTAATTTCTTTTCTTTTTTTTTTTTTTTTTTTTTTGAGACGGAGTTTCACTCTTGTTACCCAGGCTGGAGTGCAATGGCGCGATCTCGGCTCACCGCAACCTCCGCCTCCTGGGTTCAGGCAATTCTCCTGCCTCAGCCTCCTGAGTAGCTGGGATTATAGGCACGCACCACCATGCCCAGCTAATTTTTTGTATTTTTAGTAGAGACGGGGTTTCACCATGTTGACCATGGTTGGTCTCGATCTCTCGACCTCGTGATCCACCCGCCTCAGCCTCCCAAAGTGCTGGGATTACAGGCTTGAGCCACCGCGCCCGGCCCACAGTGGGCTAATTTTAACTACAGTTCATTGCAGCTTTGGACTCCTGTCTCAGCCTCCTGAGTAGCTAGGACTGCAGGTGTGTGCCACCATGCCTGATTAACCTTTTTATATTTTGTAGAGACAGGGTCTTGCTTTCTTGCCCAGGCTGGTCTCAAACTCCTGGGATAAAGCTTCACAAATTGCTGGGACTATAGGCATAAGCCACCTTGCCTGGCCTGGATTCAGCCTTTTTTACTTGAGCAATTTTAAGAAAATTATTTCCTAGGTAATTTCTCGGATGTTCTCCAAGGAAGAAAATGCAAACATTTCCATAAAGGTCCTCCTGAGAGAAAAACTGAGTGGCTATGAATCAGAATAAAATACATTATAAAACATTTTGCCATTGTATTTCTAGTTAAATATCAAGAATTTATTAATACAACATTGTTATTCAACCTCAGAAAAGCAAACTGTAGCAGTACATTTATACTTTTTCATGAAGATTCTCCCTGGATAATAACATAAGGGAAACCTGGAGAAAAAAATAAAATCTAATTTCAATTTGTGCAAATTTATAAACAGAGCTTAAAAAATGTGTCAGCCTGTCACTTTAATCTATTAAGGATGCCCTGCAATAATTAAGTCCTTTACTAGCAGCTGAATAAAAATAAGACAGTCTGAAGACTCCCTAGCCTTAATAGCACTCAGAGTTAACACTGATTTCCTGGTAACTGGTGGTTGAGCCATGCTCAGGCATGGCTGCTGACTTTAGACATTCAGATCTTTCTGTTCTGTACAATTTTAGTTTTCTTTCAAGTATTAATATGAAGAAATATTTGTAAAAATCTATTGCTCTTTCAGTATTCAAGGTTAGCGATGCCATACTGAGCCAGTCTCAGACATCTTCACTTTTTTTTGCTCCCCACTTCAGTCCTTTCCATTTCAGATCTCCATATTTTGGGAAAACCTCAACGAGAACTTTTAATGCAACTGAATTAATTTAAACGATCAGACTTCTCTATCATGAATCATGAATGTTGAGCATCATAAAAAAGAAAAACCAACCAAACCAAAGAGGAAATCCAGGCTACCATTCTTATTTAAAATATGCAAAATGTGATATGGTAACAAAATCCCTTTGATCGCATGTCGATTTAGCATTACGTAACAGCATCAGGCACTGCGGAAGGTATCACTTTTGGGATAAGTATTAAGACTGTCAGTGCGGTACTTTGGAATAAAGAACCAAGGCCTATAATCTGGTGTCTTTAAGAATTGAAAGATTCCATTTTCTTTTGATGAGTAAAGCTGTTTAACTTTAAATATTTAGTAGTTTGTTAATCTCTTTATTACAATTCGAGACTATTTTCAGTCATCTAATAATGTACTTTCAACATTTTGAAAACGGTACTGAAATAGAAGACACCCTCTCATCAACTGTATCCATTCTTCAGTTACACAGCCCTGTGATGCAGATCCCATGGCAACCAAACCAAACAGAGCCCTTAAAAGCCAGTGTGAGCTCAAAGTCCTTCTTTTCACTAGGTGCCTTATATATTTTAATCAAAATACATATTCATTTTTCATGTTAGTTAATTTTCTTCTTCTGCATGATTTTTTAAAAGATTGTAACAGGTCATAGGCCAGAGTAATTTGAGGGTGCTGAAGTGGAAGAAGCTGATGTTGAGAAACACATAGCTAGAAACATTTAGACCATGAATACACAAAAGTTTGATAGAAACATATATGACTTCTTTTGCAGATCTGCAGATTACTAAGGTTCCTAAGTTAAAGCCAGCCAACCCCAAGACACACATTTTGAGTTTGGAAAAAGAACAGAGTAAGATATGATAGTCTTGAGGACTGCTCAAGAATGGTAAGAATACTGGGGGAAAATACCCACCAGTATGTTAAAAAGTGGCTACCTTTAAGTTTTACCATACCATAGTACAGAAACTAGATTTAAACAGTAGGTTGGAGGAAGCTGTGGAGGGCTACCCCTGAAAGTAAATATTTTTACAAAGCCTTTTCCCTAAAAATTAGATATAATGCTTTTAGAGTTAATAAAACCATATGGAAAGCTAGTAGTTTTGCAAATGTACTGCAGACCTCCAAGTACGTAACAATCAAATACTCTGCACAAAAACTTTAGGAAAATGGCACATTTAATATTCAACGGCAAAATGTTCAGCGAAGCCATGCTAAGAATACTGCAGCATCTTGAAAAGCATGGATGAATTGTGGTTTTCCAAATAAACATAAACAAAAAATAAAAAAAGAAAAACACTGATGCCATGAGTAAATCTGAGGATAAATCAAAACTGTCACTGAGGGATTTTGCAGATGATAAAGCAGTATCATTCACTGTCCAAGACCTTACTTGCTGGTACAGTTGGGGTCTTAGCGCCGAGTTCTCAATCATTGTGTGAACCATGGTGATAATAGGTTCATTTTCTTTCATCTATTTCAAATCAGGAGGAGCATACAGCAAACATCAGTTTACAGCATAGCTAGATTTGAAAGACGACACTGTAAATATAGCCTCTACTTTAATATCTTCCTAATAGTGCAGTTGTTTACATTTTATCCCATGGTTGTACAGATTTAATTCATATAAAACATTTTAAACAAGTATTAAATGCTGTGAGATACTTCCAAGATTATAAAAAAAATTACTAATTGCAACAGTTAAAACTAGTTTTACTTTATACATATAATCACAATACAGTCAATTAATGAATATTCCTACATATACTAAAATAGACGACAAATCATAATTCTAAGGATAAACTAAAGGGCAAGCACACACTCAGGAGAAAAATGTTACCATTTAATTGATTATGTATTCACTAATAAACCTGAAAATGATATTCAGTTCTGTGTAAGGTTATAAAAAATTAGTTCTCTACAATTATTATAATATATTGAACACATCACCTAATCACATATTTTATTAAAGGTAATCTTGACATTTATAGACACTCTATTATGGATTTTCTCACAGTATAATATCACATGTAGAATTACTGAAGGATATGCACACTAAGACTTATTCAGCAAAGACTTGGTATGTCTCAACTCCTAAAAAGGTAATCTAAAATCAAGCTTAACATTTCCAGCTATGTTGTACTTAATTACTGCCTCTAGAAAAAAATATATATATATTTTTAAATCAGGCTCTGTACTTGAGTTAAAGCACTCAAAAGACAATCATGATGTATACAGCAAGAGGTCAAGAAAGTTTTACCATTTGTAAGCCAACAGGTCTGCTTATAATGGTAATTTGTAACATAACATTTACTTTATGTGATTTTCATTTATTAGAAAATAAGCATTTCTATCGTGGCTGACAAATGCTACTTTACTGATTTCAGCTAAGTCTACCACAAAACTTCATTAATCTTAAAATTCATAAATGTATTAATGTAAGAAAAAACTAAATCTTAAAACTCTTTTTTCTAGACAATTATGTTTTTAGTCTAGATGCCAATGTTTCACTCAATAAAATTTGTTTATTTGTCAAGTTAAAAACCTGTGACTGGTTTAATCTACTTTTTAGTCAATTAAGTGATAACGAAACACATGCATGTCTTTTAACAGTATTCCAATTAAAAGTTTCATTCGGGCCGGGCGCGGTGGCTCAAGCCTGTAATCCCAGCACTTTGGGAGGCCGAGGCGGGTGGATCACGAGGTCAAGAGATCGAGACCATCCTGGTCAACACGGTGAAACCCCGTCTCTACTAAAAATACAAAAAATTAGCTGGGCATGGTGGCACGTGCCTATAATCCCAGCTACTCAGGAGGCTGAGGCAGGAGAATTGCCTGAACTCAGGAGGCGGAGGTTGCGGTGAGCCGAGATCGCGCCATTGCACTCCAGCCTGGGTAACAAAAGGGAAACTCCGTCTCAAAAAAAAAAAAAAAAAAAGTTTCATTCGGGCTAGACCATGTATTTTTAAATCTCTGTGCCTAGAATGTTTGCATCTACCCAGGTAGTTCCCTCATGTTACTTTACCACCAATCTGATTTCTGTAACTATAAATTAATTTTGTCAAACTAATTAAATGTCAAGGTATTTGGAACACATCAGTTAAACTAAAAAAATTATTACTGTTATGATCTGTTGCTCAGGTTGGAATGCAGTGGCCCTATCACGGCTCACTGCAGCCTCAACCTCCTGGCTTAGGCAAGCCTGCCACCTTAGCCTCTCACATAGGTAAGACTACAGGCACATGCCACCAAGGCCAGCTAATTTTTTGTATTTTTTTGTAGAGACAGGGATCTCACTATGTTGCCCAGACTGGTCTCGAACTCCTCGCTCAACCTTTTACAGTTGTTTTTGGGGAGCTAGGAACTTCGCTCCTAAGAGATGGTGAAATCAATAAATGGAGTATTCTGTTTCACTGACCAGCTGTTGCCCCTTCTCTCTCCGTTTCCTTGGGCCTGCCTCTTCCCAGAGACACAACAATATTGAAATTAGGCCAGTTAATAACCCTACAATGGCTCCTGACAGTTGCAAGTGAAAGGAAGAGTTGTATGCTTATCACTTTAAAACAAAAGCTAGAAAGGATTAAGGTTAGTGAGAAAGACATGTTGAAAAGCAGAGACAGGTTGAAAGCTAGGCCTCTTGTGACAAACATTTACCCAAGCTGAGAAGGTAAAGAAATTAAGTTGTTGAAAGAAATTAAAAGTGCTACTCTAGTCAACATATGAATGATAAGGAAGCAAAACAGCCTTGTTGCTAATAGGGAGAAAGTTTTAGTGGTCTGGAGAGAAGATCAACCCAGCCAGAACATTTCCTTAAGCCAAAGCCTAATCCAGAGAGCAAGGCCCTCACTCAAGTCTTCAGTCCTATAAAGGTTGAGAGGTGAAGAAGCTGCAGAAGCAAAGTTGGAAGCTGGCAGAATTTGATTCAGGAGGTTTAAGGAAAGAAGCCATTTCTATAACATAAAAGTGCAAGGTGAAGCAGCAGGTGCTGATTAAGAAGCTGCAGCAAATTACTGAGGAGATCTAGCTAAGATAACTAAAGAAGGTGGCTACATTCAATGATAGATTTTCAATGTAGATAAAACAGTCTTGTATGGGAATAAGATGCCACCTAGGACTCTAATAGCTATAGAGGGGAAGACAATGCCTGGCTCCAAAGCTTCAAATAGGGTGACACTCTGTTTGGGGCTAATGTAGCTGGTAATTTAGGCTGAAGCCAATGCTCATTTACTTTTCTGAAAATCTTGGGGCCCTTAAAAATCATGTTAAATCTACTCTGCTTATACTCCAAAAAATGGAACAACAAAGCCTAGATGACAGCACGTTTAGAGCATGGTTTACTGAATATTTTAAACCCACTGTTGAGAACTACTGCTCAGAAAAAAAGATTCTTTCAAAATATTACTGCCCATTGACAATGAACCTAGTTATCCAAGAGCACTGACGGAAACACACAGGGAAATTAATGTGGTTTTCATGACTGTTAACACAAATCCATTCTGTAGCCCATGGATCAAGGAGTCATTTCAACTTTCAATTCTTACTATTTAGGCAATGTGTTTCATAAGGCTTCAGCTGCTATAGATAGTGATTCTTCTGAGGGACATGGGTGAATTAAAGAAGAATCTTTTGGAAAGAATTCAGCATTCTAGATACTAGATATTCGAAATTCAAGGGAGAAGGGCAAAAGAGCAACAGTAACAGAAGTTTGAAAACATTGGTTCCAACTCTCATGGATGAGTTTGAAGGGTTAAGAACTTCAGTGGAGGAAGGAATTGCAGATGTGGAAATAAAAAGAATTAGAAATGAAGCCTGAAGATGTGAATGAATTGCTTCAATCTCACACTAAAACTTGAGGGGATGAGGAACTCCTTCTTATGGATGAGCAAAGAAAGTGGTTTCTTGAGATAAAATCTACTCCTGGTGAAAAGGCTGTGAACGTTGTTGAAATGACAACAAAACATTTAGAATATATAAACTTAGTTGGTGGAACAGCAGCAGGGTAAGAAGATTCAGTTCAATTTTACTTTTTAAAAAAATTTTTTGAGACAAAGTTTTGCTCTGTAGCCCAGACTGCAGTGCAGTGGAGTAATCACAGCTCACTGCAGCCTTGACCTCCTGGGCTCAAGTGATCCTGCCACCTCAGCCTCCCAAGTAGCTGGGACTGTAAGTGTGTGTGTTACTCGTGGCTGATTTAAGAAGTTTTCTTTTTCTGCAGAGAAGGGGTCTTGCTATGTTGCTGAGGCTGGTCTCAAACTCCTGGCCTCAAGCAATCTTTCCACCTTGTCCTTCCAAAGTGACAGGCATGAGCCACCATGTCTGACTGCACTCCAATTCTGAAAGAAGTTCTACCATGGGCAAAATGTTCTCAAACAGCATTGCATGCTACAGAGAAATCATTTCATGAAAAGAACTAATTGATGTAGCAAACTTCATTGTTGTCTTATTTTAAGAAACTGCCACAGCTATCCCAAACTTCAGCAACCACCATCCTGATCAGTCAGCAGGCATCAATACATGGAAATAAAACCGTCCATCAGCAAAAAGATTAGGACTTGCTAAGGCTCAGATGATCATTAGTATTTTCTTTTTTTTAGCAATATAGGTTTTTTTTTTATTAGACATAATGCTATTGCACACTTAAGAGACTACAGTATAGAGTAAGCATAACTTTTACAGGCACAGGTAAACAAAACAAACAAAAAAGAAATAAAAAAACCAACGGTATGATCTTGGCTCACTGCAACCTCTATTTCCAGGGTTTAAGTGATTCCCCTGCCTCAGCCTTCTGAGTACCCGGGATTACAGGTGCCTGTCACCACATCCAGATAATTTTTTGTATTTTTAATAGAGATGGGGTTTCACCATGCAGGTCAGGCTGGTCTCAAACTCCTGACTTCACATGATTCACCCGACTCAGCTTCCTAAGGTGCTGGGATTACAGATGTGAGGCACCACACCCAGCCTTTAAATTCTTAAAAAAAAAAAAAAAAAAAAAAAAAAAGGGGACTGGTAATTCTCTTCTGGTTTGAATATGAGAATCCTAGAAATCATTTTAAGAGTGGTATTAACAGTCTACATATTTTAGTTAATTGCTAAATTATAAAGCTATTATAAAAGGCAGATTATTTCATAATAATAGTAATAAGGATGTATGATTCAGACATTAAACAATTTTCTTTAAGTTTAAGGGTTTTATAAAACTCTTATGAAATAATTTCAAAAACTGTACATTATCATGGCACAGACTATAGCCTACTTTTGTTTTTACATGGCACAAAAGTAAAGGTTGAAACTTCTATAACAAAGAAACAGTTGCTGAACTACTTTGCATATGTAACATGAAATCACTGCGTGCAATAAGAATACTACTGCAACAATAAAAATTTATTGGTTTTATACAACTTGAGGTCAAGCAAAAGGTACATTATTATCAAGTAGATTTGTCTTATTATTTTATTTTTTTGAAACAGTCTC